AAGCCAAACATTGTTTAAGGTGACACAGACGTGTCTCCTAGATGAGGCGGCTGCACGCATGACTTTCATGCAGAACGATCTGTCATGTTTTATTATGGAGTTGTCAGGAGAATGAGGAAGTCCAAGTGGTGAAGGACATTTTTCAGAGGATTTGTTTCTTCTTTGTGTCAGGACTGCATTGTTTTTTCTCTTGGTTAAAAAAAAGAATCAATTCACTAGACCTTTGTTTGTTTGTTTGTTTGTTTTTAGGAGGCTGATGGCATTTTCTGCTGCAATCATAGCGACTACACTGTGACTGAAATGCTTCAATTTCTCTCCGACAATTGTGGGCTTTTCACGGCGCATTTCACATACGCAGCCAGCTGTGAACGGCGTGAATGGGCTGCGCTCGTCTGCCGCTTCCTCTTTTTACTTTAACCTTAATTAGAAAACATCCTCTCCTTTAAATCAATCGCATCAGAGCCGACTAAACAAATTCAAGTGTTTTCTCTGGGCACAAAGGAGACAAAGGAGACGTGCACGTGTCAATAGGTGTACAGTTCACTTTGGTCCGGCAGGCCTGACTTCAGAGCAGACATGTCAGAGTGAATCCAGGGCTTAGGGCAGTCACTATAACTGAATGGCAGAGGCCCCGGCAGCCTAATAGGCCACTCATGCATTGCATGTCACTCACTTGCAGTACAGGACCTGACATACAGGACTGGATGAGGTCTGTCGGTCTGTCAGTGTACACACTGAAATGCAGCTCCACAGTCAGAGAGCACACAGCCCGTGTTACCTCAGGGTCACACAGCCATGTGAGCTAACACTCTCTGGGTTGTTTTTCTGCCCTTGGACCTTTTCCCACTGACTGACATAAGAAATGACTGCTACTTACCTGGCTGCTGCGCACAAAGTCAGCTAAAAACAATGCTTTTAATTATTGGTTTTCAAAGTGTGGGGGGGGGGGAGGCTGCGACCACCTGGCTTAAGATAACGAAATAATTTATTAAAAAATAATTAAAAAAATATTATTAGATGATCAAGTTTCCAAAGGTACCTGAATGCATCATAATCTTTGTAGACCTGGTCGTGTTCACCTGTTGGGTGATTGTAATAAGTTACCTAATCAATAATAAAGTAATTGCTGCTTTAGGGTTAGCCTTTAGCAGGCTGCTAACGTAGCATGACAAAACTTCAAACAGATGCTCCCTGTGAGCCTCCTCAGCTCACTGTCAAGAATCTACATCTGTCTATCCATCCATCATCCATCCATCCATCCATCCATCTAGTGACAGACCTTCTTGTCCAACACAGAATCGACTAATAAATGATCCACTACGAATCCTGAAATACGTGACCGTCCAGTCACCTGGGAGGGATGACGATGGTGAAGACTGACCAATTAAGATTCTGGATGGTCGATCGGTGCAGCTCTAGTCCCAACAAGTTAAGAAAAATCATCTTTATCGTGACACACACAACAAAGTTTGTCCGCATTAAACCTATCAACAAATTCTGGAGCAGCGGTTGCTCCTAGAAGCCTGAATTCAGGATTCAAACCTATGACGCTCTGGTAACGAGTCTGATCACTAAGCCACAGGCTGCCCGGATAAAATCTGGAAGCATCAGGACAGCTGCTGACCAATGGGATGTGATGTGTGTTGTGTATGTTTTGACACTCATCAGCACCAAAACAGAGATTGTTTGGGATGAAGGTCGACTCCTTCTGGTTGCAGACACTGTAGAGTGTCCCCCAGGGGCCGTGGAGTGATGAGGACCCATGGGTGCTCCCTGGAGTTCCTGTGCTTGTTAATCAAGCAGTGGGATGACAGGTCATTAGCTGCAAGAATCACCGCACTCTCACTACACCGACGTAGAGCTGCACTCACTGGAAACTGCACCTTTGTTGCTCTTTGTCAGGGTAATGTGAGGGCACTGCTGTTTGAGTGTGTGTTTCAGGAGGATTCACTGCCACAGAAGTGAAGAGTCGCTCACTGACTGAATTAAAACACATTATAAAAATGAATGTTTGTGGCGAGCGTCGACATGATTTACTGTTAAAAACCTATTTCTGCTCATAGGACGACAAATCGACAGTCGGTGTTCATGTGAACAAATGTTTTCTGGGAGTTGATTGGTCCGTTATTCCAAATTCATGAACATGACAGACGAGATTTTTTGGTCCTAAAAATCCTGAACAGATGTGATACCATTTCCTGCTTCAGTACTTAGTCGTTTTGGCAGCAATTTGAAGAAAGCAATTCAAAGATAATTGCCTCTGTGAGGAAAAATTAAAAAAATAAATAAAAAATTAAAAAATAAATAAATAAATGAAATACAATAAAATTGTTGCTCTTTCAATCAGTATCTTTTTCAAATGTGAGGGGAGGAACCGCAGACAGGAAAGAACAGCAGGA